CAAAATATTGTTCTGAAATAATTCTCTTTTTTTATTCAGATACTTACATAGATCTTGTATTGATCCTTGTAGTATATAGTATATGACCACACAAACATGAATGAAGTTGTCTTCATATCCCTTCCCCTCTGCGAAGTGGGGCAGTTTTATTATCCTAGCTGGGGAAACTGAGGAACAGAGATTGTTCCCCAGGGCCAAACTCACCCAAGGCCTGTGGGAGAAGGGGGAATTGACTCTAGATCCACAAGTTAGCATGATCCAGTGGAGTGAACAGGGGCCTGGGAGCCTGCGAGGCCTGAGTTCAAATCCCAGCTCTCCTTTTTGCCTCTGTCACTTTGGGCAAGTCACGTGGGCCCAGATTTTCCCGGGATGCCTCCACTTTCTGGGGCCCATTTTGAGACTTCCTGTGGCCTGATTTTCAGAGGCACCAAGCACACTCAGTGCCCATTGGCTTCTGCTGGAGCTGAGCATCTCTGAAAGTCAGCCACTTAAAGACTCTCCAGTCGGACGCTCAGAAACAGAGTCACCCAGAGTCAGTTGCCTCTTCTGAACAGCTTGACACTAATCTCTTTGAGTCGGTGTCGCCATCTGTACAACAGCAGTGATGCTTGCCTACCTGCAGGGCTCAACGAGGGGCATGTAAGGATTCGTTACTCGATTAACTTGGGGGATTTTTGGTGCTGCCGCTTGAAGGTATAGGGCCAGATTTTTCAAAGTGCTCAGCCCCCGCCATCGGGGCCGGATTTTTCCCAGTGCTCAGCACGGTGGGGGCAGATTGGGAGCGGCGCACTTTCGAAAATTTGGCCCTGGGGGGGAAAAAAAAATCAAGACTATCCAGAATTCTAAGGCTCACTGTGCCTGGCGGGTTCTCTATGCCATGCCTACAAACCACCAGGCCCGTTAAGCATGACGGATCCAGGGTAGCAGCCTTAATTCTGAACGTGGTTCTACTTCAGTTTGTTTTGTCGAGAGCTTGCAGGCCTTTCCAACGTACGCAATCCCACCTCTTTAGCAACCCTCATGCACTGAGCCACAAGTGGTTTATGGAAGATGAGGTAATTACATCACTTATGCCAGGCTAGAAGACCGTTTTTTAAAGCTAACTGCAGCCTCTAAGGGTAAATCAGGTTGTTGCTGTGCCCTAAGATGGACCAGGTTTGGGTCATGTTAATTGCATTCAAATCACCAGCACTCCGAGAGGGAGCGGGCTGATTGCCTCCAGCTGGGTAATAGTTCTGCAGTGGTTCTCATGTCTCCAATGTACCTGTTTCAGGGGTTCTTGGGCGACCCCGGACCACCTGGGGAAAAAGGAGAAAAGGGGACAAAGGTGAGTTCACTTGTTCTGAGCCTGGACACGGGGACCCAGTGGATATGAGACGCATGCAAAAGACGGTGCTGGCAGCTGTGTTTTTGAGTCACTTTAATGTGGAGCGCTGGTTTTCGGCAGTAAGCCTTCCTGCATCCCCCATGGCCTCGGGGCATTCTGCCATGTTGCATGGATACTGGCTTTTGCTCCCCTCTCACCGAGATGAAGCCAATTCTGCTCAAGTCTCATCATCACTCAGAAAATAAATCTGATTCCTCTCTGCACCTTCCCGTCTGTGCAGCCCCTGTGTGCTGAATTAGCTCGCAGCCCCGGTACAGGTTCCTTCAGCTCTTCGTTGCTTTCTCCTTCCTATAGAAGGTGCCAACCCTTCCCATTGTTCCGCATCTCTTGTGTTTTAGGAGGAGGAGGGGGTAGGTTGGACTGTAGTTCCCCTTCACGACAAAGAGCCTACATCAGAGAAGGGAAAAGACCTCCTGGCTGGTTGGAGTGCAGTCAGGGCAGCGTCTCCCAACCAGGCCTGGCTTTGGGGGGTACAGAATGGAAATCCATTTGGTGGGACAGCCGCGTGACTCAGCAGACCCATTGCCCGCCCTGCGAAAGGGGGTGCTGATCAGTCCGTGCTCACCGCGCTCTGGCCTGGTTCAGGATCCCAGCAGGCATGAGGCGTCCCCTCCCCTCCGGCACTGCTTTCTGCTGCACGGGGTGCGTCTTCCTGAGCTCCTCTGTGCTGTTCAGTCACTGTCTGTGCTTTTTGCTGTTTCAGGGGGTGAAAGGACAAAACGGCCCTTCTGGACCTGCTGGAGCTCAGGTAAGTTGGCAAAGAAAGCAGCTCCTCTCATCCTCTGACCACCTCCCAGGGTTCCTCTCTCACCTCTCTTTCCACTTGCCCAGTAGTCGCTTTTGCTTTGAGGTCAGGGGGTTGCTTGAACCCCAAACTCAAAGCAGAACTCAGGGAGACGTGAACCCGTGTGAAGTGAAACAAGGGTCTCCCTAGGGCCGGCTCTAGGCACCAGCAAAACAAGCTGGTGCTCCCCCTCCCTCCCAGGCTCTCAAACCTGGGAGGGAGGGGGAGATCCCGAGCGGCTCTCTCTTGAGAGCCTGGGGGGAGGAGGCAGGGCTGGGGATTTGGGGAAGGGGCGGAGTTGAGGCGGGGCCGGGGGTGGGGTAATTAAAAAACGGGGGGGGGGCAAAATTGTTTTTGCTTTGGGCGGCAAAAATCCTAGAGCCGGCCCTGGGTCTCCCACTCCAAAGGCTGCAAAAAGAGCCAAGCATCTCACAGGTCTAGTACTGAGCTTCCAGTGCCTCTTGATTCTGTCATGCAGCATCCCTGCAATTCCATCTTGCCCCTTTGCTCTCCTGAGCAGACACTGTCCCATAGCTGGAATGGTACCTAACTTTGATACCTTTTGTCATTGGATGAGGTTGGGTGGTCTATAGTGGTTAAAGCACATGACAGGGAGTAGGGCGATACAGGTTCTGTTCCTGGCTCTGACACCGATTCTCTACTTCAATTTACACATCTGTCAAAATTATGATGATGCTACTGGCCTTTTGGGGATGAGGAGGTGTGTGGCGAAGCTCCTTAATGCTTGGAGACTCTCCCCCCGGGGAAGAAACCCTTGTTGAATGGCCATGGCACTTCAGTAAATAGTGGACAGGTCTCCCAGTGTTCTGAGTGCCTTGAGGTGGGACTCTCTTGTCTTGGGCTTGACTCTTTAAAGAGGCAAGTGAGGTGGCCCTGTGCCTGACGTGTCTGCTCCTAATCCTCTCCTCAATATGTTGGCTTGTTTCCTAGGGGATGATGGGTGTCAAGGGTGCTTCAGGGTTCCAGGGCCTGCCTGGACCAGAGGTAAGTGAGTTGCTTTCTTCTCCGTGGTATGCTTACTTCCCTAGTGTTGCAGCATCTGTCTGTTCATGTGTCCTGAGACCAATGGAAACGCTAGTGCACGGAGGAAGGGATGAGTCAGGCAGTGCAGGACATTAACACAGCTCTGTCATGTCCTTGGAGGGAGAGGGAAGAACTGAACTACCTTCTAGCACCATTCACTCAAATTTGGCCCAGCCACCCTTCCACCATCACAGGAGAGCGGTCGAGCCAAACCTGAGTGGCATTAAGACTCCGCATGCCAGGTCGCAATGCCACTCGCTCATAGCGGAGGGGCAGCCGGGCCACATTTGAGTGAGTGGTGTCATGACCTGGCATGTGGGGTTGCAGTGCCACTCAGGTTTGGCCTGGCTAGAAAGTAGTCGGGCCATGGCCTAGGGGTCCGCCTGCCTCTATGGCATATGCCTGTCACCCTGGGGGCATTGGGAGTTCCTTCTTATTCTGGTGTCAGCAGTAGGATCCCTTTCCAGCAATCCAAGTTCTCCATATGAAAGGGTAATGGGTCTCTCCGAATATGAATCCTAAGGACTGAGGAGATACTCCTTTGTGAATGTAAAGCAGGTGAAATAACCCCAGTCTGTCTGCAATGCCCCATATGAGTTGAGGTGAGTAGGTGGATTTTGGGTGGATTCTGATTTGCAAGGGGGTTCATGCCAAACACTCCTCACAATTCTCATCCATGGGGATGTGAACCCAATGGGACTTTGCTTGGGGTTTCAGATTCAAATCAATTAACAAAACTCAAAGTGAAACCCAGCCAAGTTGCTGAGCTGTGCCTGTCTTTGGGCTAAAGCCATGTGTAGCCAGAGTCCTGTATAGATTGCACCGAAAGCCATAAATGGGCCCTGTTTCACTTGAAATCCAGCCCCGCTTTGCCAAAGGTTTGTCAATCTTGGGAAACTCAGCCTGTTCTTTCAGGTTTGCCACAGTCTGAAACCAGATGAGTTCAGGGTTTGGTTACAAACATTTCTACCACTCCACTGAATGGACTGATCATTCACTGGAGTTTATATAGTAGCCTTAAAGCCAATAGCCCTCAGTACTGTACAACTAAAGCCATTGGACTCATACCTGTGGACACTTGACTAATTAACCAGTGGATTTTGTAAAAAGATAAATGAGGATTTTAATCACTTGCCCTTCACAATGGCCTTCTGAGCTTCTAGTCGGAATTCACCCTCACAGGACTGGGGTCAGTTTGCCTGCCCAGCAGTCGATAGGAACACTGCTTGTGTGATGCTCTGCCCCTGGGTGGGTCATCCACAGCAGGGATTGAACCTGGTGTGCTGTACTGAAATGGTGTAAATTGTCACTCAAGGATTTTTCCCAGTCCTGCTTGCAGTGTATAAGGCTCTTTAGGGAAGTGTGTGATCTAGGCCTGGCAGCAGTCAGCCAGCCTACAGTAAAGCAGGGTGAGTTGTGCCTCTCTGTTTTAGGGAGCAGCCTGCTTTGTCTCTCTCTGTTTTTGGGTTCTTGTGTGTTGTTAGTCTGAATTCTAAGAAATGAAGTAGTGTTATGTTGCAAGCTTCTAGCAAGAATATTTGTTTTTAATCTAACTTTTCTGAGTGTATGCCATGAACAGAGCACCTGGGACTTCTGGATCTTAAAGCATGAGCCTCTACTGCCTAAGCTAAGAGACCCAGGTCCCTATCTGTGGCCTAGTCACCACCAGAGCGGAACAGAGTGCCACATGGCGTGAGTGTGGGTTACACTTACATACCAGCAGTGGTCTGCATTAGATCGTCCCCGTTCACATACCAAAGGTGGCTTTATCCAGGTTATACTTGGTACTGTGTCACTCAGTAGGAAAGAGGGGAAGGGAAAAGGAGATGCTGCTTTTAGTGTTGAGATCTCAAGTGTTTCTTTATCCTGCTTCAGGGGGAAAGTGGTGCAGTGGGTTCTCCAGGGCCGGCCGGACCTATGGTAAGTTTATAATTTTTCAGTTTAACCAATGGATAAAAACAAGGTTGTTCTTGTGCCTCAGACAGTTTTCGCTGCTCAGGCTGTAGGTCACCCCAGCACTCCCCTAGTGCATTCAGGGCTGTTGTCCTTGAGAGCTGGAAAGGGAATTACAGCTGGTTGCAAATTTTCTGGCAAAATGTTTTTCCATTAGAAAATGCCATTTTGTCAAAATTGAAATTTTCCAGGGGAATGTGTCAATTTCAACAAACACTTATTTTGGGGGGGAAACATCAAAATGATGAATATTCATAAGGACGAAAAATTCTGTTTTGATGCTTTTGGGATGGAACCTTTTGGGGTTTTTTTTTTTGTTTTTTTTTTGCTTAAAAATACATTGCATTTTATATTACAAGCTATAATAGAACGTAAAACAAATCCAAATGGAAATGACCCATTTTCATAAAGTTAGTTTCCCAGGAAGCTTTGAAATTGGAATTTTCACTCCCGGGTGGAATGACGGCACATTTCAAAATGGTGAATTTCCTGCACAGCTCTAAAGGAAATCTGTCCTGCAGTGAAAGGTGGGGAGGGGGAGATGTGACAGTGTGCACGAGATGGAAACACCATCTGCAGAAAGGAGAAAAGTGGAAGAAAAGGGAATTCCTTTCTCAGCGATCCTTTACCCCTCGGCTACACACCCACAAAGAAATGGCACTGTGGTGTGATTGGGGGCAGCTGTCTCTTCAATACAAGAGCATTACTGAGTTTTAAACATATGGCCACAATTGTCCCCACGCCTTGGCCCTGCCGGGGTTAGGAGACAGGGCATTGCATACGCATCAGTCTCTGTGGGAATGAGTTGGCGGTGGGAGGTGGCAGCGTAGTGAAGTAAATCCCTGTGCAGCAATAAAAGGGAGGTGTGAGGTGGTAACACGGGAAGGAGTGGGACTGACCTACTCATGCCAGTGACGTGCTCTCTCCAGTTTGGCTCAGCCCCGTGCTTTATGGTGGCTGTCTGGGGCTCTTTTGTGGATTGTGAGACAATGAAATGTTATGATGTATTATTTGTATAGTGACAGTACCTAGGAGCCTGGCTCACGGACCAGGACCCCATTGTGCTAGGTGCTGTACAAACAGAGAATAATCAGCCGGTCTCGGTCTCAAAGAGCTCACCATCTTGTGCTTCTGGTGAACTCTGTTGTGTGTTAACACCATGGAGCTGATGGAAATCCCCCGTGGCTTTCTCCAGGAATACTAGATTAAGAGATGTTAAGGCCAGACGTGTCCAGTAGGTCATCTAGTCTGGCCTCCTGTGCAACACAGACTATAAAATTTCACCCAGTAACTCCTGTATTGAGCCCAATAACTTGGTTTTCTGAGCTTCTTGTCTGTGTTGCTTCAACCGAGTGCCCTGCTCTGCTGGGGTCTGTCTCTGGAAGCCACAAGACAGAAACCACTGGTGGGCACTGCAAATCCAGTGGTAGGCCCAGGCCAATCATCCAGGGCCCAACCAATCTACAAGCAAGGGCCTAGCCAGGTGGCCCCAAAGCAGGTATACTGGAAGTAGCCACTCCAGACTGGTCAACATTGCAACCTTGCTGGGAGAATTCACAGCTGCCTGGCAGATCTGACAGACCGCTCCCGCCAGCCCCCGGGCTGTCCTGTCCGGTATCCGTGGCGGAGCGGACTGCATGGTTCTCCCGCATTTTATGACACACTGACTATGGGGACTGTATCTGTGTGTTGTTTTATTGCAGGGGGAGCCGGGGCAGCCGGGGCCAGTCGGATTACAAGGAGTCAATGGCTCTCAGGTGAGTCCCTACGGGCAGCGCCGGCTCCAGTCACCAGCTTGTCAAGCAGGTGCTTGGGGCGGCACGTCCAGGTATTCGGCGGCAATTCGGCGGACGGTCCCTCACTC